TTTTCCCTCTCTTTCCTCCATGATGGTAATCACCAAAACAGAAGGTCTCGCTAATTAGCTTCAGTTTGTGGTTTGCTTAAAGCAGGATCAAGCTAGGATGGAAATAGCTGCTGGTGCTGTTCACTACTTAAGTCAGTGCAGAAGCAGATTGTGCACATGATCAGCATAGCCACATCCTATTAGCACTGACGCAACTTCCAGCCAAACCTCCAGGCAACATGGAAACACACATGCTGGGTAAGTTTATTCTCTGCTTCATTGTTTATTGCTGTCTATGAAGTGGAATAGGTGGAAAGGGGGTGGGGAACAGAGAGAGAAATACTTTGGAAAGACTTCTCTGTCTTCTTTCAGGACGTTTGCAAAACAAAGAAAAAGAAAACGAAAAGAGAAATCTGTGGCCCAGGTTGCATCCAAACAGCTCAGAGATAAAACATGCAGAGTTCATTTCTTCTGAAACCTCAGGAGTGCAGCTGTGGGTCAGTGTTGTGATCCGTGTGAAAAAGACAATCACTAGGCAAATGTCTTGTGCTGGACTTCTGCTGTTTCCACCTGCGTTTGCCTTATTGCAATGCAACTGTGGGGAATGAGCAATATCCTTTTCCAGAAGACAATATGCAGTGAGCTCTCAATTCCCATACAGAGGGAACAAATCTGCTCAGTGCATAAAACCTTTGTGTCTGAGTTCCCAGTGTACAAGTTTAGAATAACGTTCAGTGCAGATATTGGGTCACTATTACTTTGCTGTTATGGTTAAAAGTTCTGTGGTTGTTTTCACATTATCTCATCGTTTCTGGGGCTGTAGTTCTGCTGTGAACTCTAAACTATCATGCACTTCACTGAATTATGCTATTTCTCTCCTCTCCCATGCAGTCCTTTTCCTAAAATTATTTGCATATCAGACCACAATGTGGTAGATTTAATGTCCCTGCATTAAATTTAATGTTTATTGCTGATCTTTGTTGAGTTATTCCAGTGGCCTTTTTCTATCTCAGGTCCTTCACTATTGAAGCTAGCCCTGATAGATGCTTCATGTCAGAAATATCAGGTGCTTTCTGTAATCTCTACATGTAGGGTAGATTTTTTTTTTAAATATACCATGATGAAAACACAACAGGAGCAGAGTCTGTAAAGTTCTAGATGGTTGTATTATGTAGACATAGCCCCATTAAGTCTTCAGTAATGCAAACATTCATAAGGCACCTCAGGTAGGGTGTTTTTATCCTGTGTGCCTCCCATGTCTATCTCCACAGATCTATTCTGTTTTCTACAGTCTTGACCATTCAGGTTCATAGTCTGCCAACCTTTAAAGACACCCTCTGGCTCATGGCATGTGCCAGAGGTGAGTGAGCATCTACACTGACATGAGTGGATTCTTCTTGCATCTAATGCCAGGTGCCAGTGCTCCTGTGTAAAGAGGCTACTAAATCAACGTTTTTTTACATTTGTGTCTGTGGCCATAACTATCCAGGTCAGTCAAAGCCAGCAAGAAGCCATGCTCCCCTCTGTTTGAGGTGCTGCAATGCTGCTGTTCCTGGCAGCAGTTCAGGGGCAGATTTTCAGGGCCCAGAGCATGTCCCCCTTCTAAGTGATTAATTGTCCATGTTAAAGAGTTTAGCTGGCTGAGTCCAAGACCAGGAGCATCTTCACCAACCTGAGGTGTTGTGAGGAAAGCTGGAAATGAGGGCCTGCCCTCCTTCCCCCAGAGAACTGTTTTTAAGCAGAGGCTTTATTGCTCCCTGCTGCTGGGGCTTCACTGCACCTGGGCTATGTCTGCACCTGATCTTGGACCTTTTCCAGTTTGGCCCTGACTCAGCCCCAGAGGCTCTTCTTCCTGGCTTGACCTTGGATCTGTCTCATCACTGCTGCCTTGCTGGAGGATCACCCAGTTGTGTCCAACCCTGATTGCTGTCTCCAGCCCTGATCCTAACCTGGACTTGCTGCTCTGCATATGAGCTCTCTGTCAGCAGGGTCACTCACTGCCCTGCCCTATCACACTTTCCTCTCTGGGCTCACCTTTCCTGTGGAGCAGCCAGCCATAGGCCACCTTTTCCCTCAAATGACTGTAAGAGGATTGATATTATCCTTTGTGTCAGGAACTCTTACTTTTAGTACTCGGTGAGTAAGCATTCACAGAAAGGGCCAGAGGGTTCTGGACAAGTCCTTCTGTTCCTAGGTCATTACAGTTCCAAATTGCATGGTGATATGGGAAGAAGCTCAGCTCATGCCAGAATTACTTCTTGTGCACATCTCCCCCAAACTCAACACAGCTACAGCAGAGCATGTAGTTGTCTCCACTTGTCTACAAAACCACAATTAGTGCCTTTTAAGAGTTACAGGAATTAAAGACAGACAAGGCTGTTTAGATAGCCTCTAATGCTCTCTAATGCAACATGGTACAGATTAAAGCAAATTTCAGCTTAGAGGGTATGAAGACTAACATGAGGAGGAGAAACTTAGAGGAAGCTTCTGGGAAATGGAAGTATAGGTGTGGCTTGGATGAAGTAAGAAGGGTTAAGATCAGAGATGGAACAGTCCTGACAAGGCTTAAGGTTGGCAGCAGAGTATCACACAGTTCCTTGACTACTTCATGTTCAGCACATTGTCCCAGCCATGTGCCCTGGGCTAGCACACCTCCTGGGGAATGAAACTGGGGATGCAACTAAAGGGAGGGAGCAGTACAGCTCAAAGCAGAAAGCATAGTTTTTCAGGTTTACTTCTTTCCTGTTCTCACCCAGCTGTGTTTCCACCAAGAGGTATATGATCCAAATTTACAGCCTGAGGGTTGAATGCTCATACAGTACCTCTCAGAGTGCAGATGGGAAGAGCAAAACCACCTATGAAAATGCCTTGGACAGCCTGGGTGCATTTGCCTGTCTGAACCCCATTCCAACACTCATTTCGAAATGCCACATCCTGAGCCTCCAGGACACTCAGCAAGGAGAAACTCTTGGGTAGGAATCAGTATCTTTGCATTTGGCCATACATGCTGCTTCTCCTTTACTTCCCAACCTCCAGAATATGACTAGAGAAGAAATTCTGAGTTTAGTTATGGGACTGATTTTAGAAGAAGCACTTAAGTTGTAGGGGTCTAAACACCTAAATAGTTCTTGAACCATCCTAAAGATCCAGGAGATCTGAAATTTCATGCTCAAATTCTATCATTATTTTATTTGAATAAGGAGTTTGACCTAAAATCACTTATACAGGCGTGACTGTCTCTACTGAAATCATTCTGAGCTGGGAAGTCATTTGCTTGCTGGGGACATAAAGAGCACATATATAACCATAGTGCATCTTTTTATTTATATATATGTCCTTTGAAGATGAAATGTATAAGTAAAGCTATGAGAAGCTGTAAATTCAAGTAGTTTTTTTATAACTACTTGGAGGGTGGGATGAATAAGTTTGCCAAGCAATGCTACTAAATTGCAGATGTTTTGAACAGCCTTGCAGAGGAATCTGTGCAAGTACAGCTATACTCTAACTGTGGTGTCTTTCAGAAGTGCATCCCATTTCTGATACTCAACTGGCAAGAGAGAGATAAATGAAAGCAGGCCACTGTCTGTGCCCTGGGTGGTCAAACCACTTACAGTGTATTCTGCAAGTAGTTGTGCTGTGATAATCTGATCATCTGGAGCACTCAGGTCAGATAATTGGCTGTTGCTCACAATTGAATACTGAGCTCCTAATTAGGCAGACTCCTTTACTGCCTGTTTCACAAGCAGTGTGGTCCTTTAACACATCCTCTCAGTCCTGCACTTTTGACAGCATGTGCAAATTCATTGCTGCACTTTAGACAAGGACCTGGAAACACAAACAGTGAGGTCAATTGGTGCACATGTTGCCAACCTTTAAATATACAAAAAGCTGAAGCAAAGGAGAGCAGAGTCTGAGCAAGCAAGCAGGTGGTGACTGGCTGTGAATTGGCACTGGAACAGGAGCTGGTCACTGATCTCTGTCCTGGAGGTTTCTTGTCCTTGGGAGCCATTTACAACTTAGTGAAGTTTGACTGGAGGGATGGTTCCCCAGCTATGTTTCTAGAATGAGTGTAGTTCTTGAAATTTGCTTTCCAGGTTGAATTCAAGATTCACTGTACTGCTGTTCTCTGGGGAGACATATATGTATGCACCAAAGCTATGCATGTGTGCATGTATAAAATTTTTATATATATGCACATACATACACACACACAGCTTGTTTCTATCGATATTAATTCCTCTAGAATATTTACAGGATGAGAACATATAAGGCCAGATGTCGTAAAGGCTTACAGGGTAGAATGAGGTCAGGCAGCATCTGAAGCAGAAGTCCCTGAGGCTCTGCAGTACCACAGGCAAGTGCTGTCAAATGTGGAACTCATTCAGAACAAAACATTTTGGTTCAGACAGTTTGGTTTGGGAAGATGAAAAGCTTCTGAGATAACAGGAGTCTTCCGATTTTCCAAGTTCAGATATGGCAATTGTATTTCCATAAAAAAACTTATTGTGACTGGGAGTGCCTGACTGCCTCACCAGTTTACCAGTGTTAATCTCAGGTTCGTGACACGGTTTCTGGAGGTTGGGAAACATAATGGAAATGAAATCATTTTATTATAAATGAACTGCAGCTTTTTTCCTAGGCCTAGTTGAAAGGACTGGAAAGTAAAAAAGCTCTTTAATTGACTGTGTAAAGGTCTTGTGAGATATCCCAGACTTAGTCTGAAAATCCTGGAGAAACATTGTGTGTGGCCTTTGGGAATGAAACCTTCACTTATTAATTATTTTCCTTGGAGTTTCCCTTGTGGCATCATTATGTGCTTCATTAAAGTAAACCAAGCACAAGTTTCCTTGGGAGATCAGAAAAGAAAGACTGGTGAGTCAATCTACTGTACTGTTCAAGTGCTGCTGGGCCCTAATCTATTATTGATTTGAAACATAAGCATAATCATAACATTTAGGGGTCTGTTCCCCTCTCTCTAAGCATTTCCTTCTTTAGCATTACATTGTCTCCTCTCTTCAAACATGGCTGAGGGTAAGTAGATTCAGCCTGTGTACAGGGCATAGAAGGGGTTTAGTTAAATAAGGGGAAAATATGACTTCCAGACTTTAGCAATGCACTATGGATATAGTGTCTCCCTGGATATACAGGAGCTGTTTTTTTTTTTCCTGGGGAAGACAAAAGTCCTGACTGGGGAGGAATGAATGGTTCTTTGTCTCTTTAGTGGTGGTGTCCAGTTGGATATGCTACACCTATGTCTTCTAGGTGTAAAACACTAATGATGGAAGGACCAAACCACAGTATTCCCCCCACGGTAAGAGCTTCTCAAAGAAACTATGGGTATGATCAGCCAACCCCAT